TAAAAAAAACTTTACATCAATAAACAAAATCGAAGCCCTGCGTCAACGTTTATTTTTCTCGGGGCTCAACTCCTGAATGTCCCCCATTCTAATGGAATTGTCGATAACTGTGATGTCACACTGGCAAGAAAATTCTCCACTCGATAATGCCGGATCAGCGAGGTCTTTACTCGAGGGGGAATTTGAATGCTGCAGCCGGCCGACAAAGAGACTCGCCTACCGGTCATTTTGACAGCCCGTGTAACTAGCGTTTGACCCATAGATGCATGGAAAAAACACCTGTAAGAGTGATACCATTATTTCTGACATCCGCTAATAGGTAGGGAACGTCCTAATAACAAACGACAGTAACACTCTCGCCTTGATACTTAGACGTGTACCGTGTCCAAATGTCGGCCATTTTGTGGTCGACTTATTTTTGTTCAAAATGCCTATGATTTATTTTTCTGCAATCTTAAACAACAATTGTTTCGTACATTCTTTCACTACGATGTCTACGATACGTATAACAATAACGCGGGTCATTTTAATAAAAATGCGTATAGATAGAACTGCGGATCGGAAAATAAAACTGCTTCTTATAAACTGAGACAATTTGCGTAGATTTACACAAACTATTACAAACTTAAAAAAAAAAAACATACTAATTAGTTCTTCAATGTGCACATCGTTACCGCAAAGGTAACACAATCTTAAACCATTTGAATCCACGTAAGATTTGCAATTACCCAGAAGAGAACGTGTAACGATTAAATGACAGAAATTTTGCTCAAAGTGAAGATCGACAAGCTGTTTTATCAAATACTGTGTGAAACGATTCAGCCTGAAAAGGTATCGTTTGGAATGAAACAAACATTGAAAGTTGTTTTAACAGTGCCTGCGAATGCTCTTCTATTTTACGTGCAGTACCTACGCAGTCCATTTACGACCCGCTTGTTTTCCATATTTTTATCCACCTTGAGCACGTCTGTTGCTTCAAACGAACAACAAAAATGCGCAACAAGCAGGTGACCCCACGTACCTTGAACACAGCAGCATTCTTGCTCTATTGCAGATGACTGTCGAGTTTTCATTCATTTTCGCGTTGCCTCAAGCGCAGACTCTCTCGCTGGAGAGCACGCGATGAAAAAAAAGGTAGCGCACGTTCAACAAATAATACACCGTGCAGTGCCACGGGGGTGCGTCAGAACGCAAGACAAGGAGAAGGAGAATGGGATAAAAAGGAGAAGGAAGAGGAAGAGGTTCAAGTAGTGGATATTTACTTAAAATCGTGATGATGCTGAAGGGTTTGGGCTGGGGACAAATGTGTGTACACTGGGGAGAAGTCAGAGGTTCGGAGAGCGAAACAGATGAGAGTTTTATGTCTCTCGGTTGAAAATTTTGCTTTAAAGCTCTGAGTTTCAGTCGTCAAAACAATTTCAAGCAGCAATTTTACAACTGGCTTTTCATTCCTTTTTTTATGAACTCCATGATTGTGTTATTTCTTCATTGATTTTTAATACAACTTATTGCATAATTTCAAGACTAATGCTTAAAAAAAAATTGGCTGGTTTTGGCATGGACTGCCAGACATAACTGTTCACAAAGTGCTAATTCTAATTCTTAGCATGTACACAGGCGAGGCAAGCCGAATAAAGCAACTGGTCACAGAACAGCCAAAGTTAGAGCGCACAAAATTCTATTCAATTGATTCAGAATGGCTGTTCACTGGTATAATGAGTGTGCAGATACATCCCACTCATTGACGTTGGTCTTCATATGCGAAAGCATTGCCCGGCCTTTATCAATTTAATTCAATTCAATTCAACTGAAATAAAAATACTTTATATCTCCTTAAAAAGGCAATTTCATATGGTTGGACAGCTCACCAGAACAAAACCACTATAAAAAAAAAAAAAAAAGTCGAATAAATATATAACATTTTAAACAATGAAAAACTACATGTACTCATATAGATTTAAAATTGATGTGAAACTTCTTTAAGAATATTCTTTATACTCTAAGTACGATGATGAAGATACACGAGATGACAAATAACAACAATGACAAATTAAATGATGGACCTTTACAAATACACATGTCAACTAGAATCGCGTCCGTGGACAAACACCGGCTGTTGGCGGCTGTCTGTTTGTGACGTGTTGAACATACTGATGACCGTGACTTCAAATTTCATCTATAAAGCATCCCGGTTTACGTACATATCAAGTTACAACAAAATCGGACCTATAGTTTAAATAGATTTCTTTATCAGCCAGTCGAAGACAAACATGACAGTCAATCAGTCAGTCGGTCAGTCAGTCAGAGAGGTACACAAAGGACACTAAGCTGGCCATCTGTGACCAGCAAAAATCTCAAATCAAGCGAATGAATTTAGAGCAAGAGCAACTTTAACATTGTATGTATAGTAAGATGAAGGGCGCGCAGATATAGCTATGTGCACCGTACCGCAGGTGCGCCACATCCCATGCAACGCGACACCGCCCCACTGTCTTCAAACACCACTCGAGTGGCCCTTAAATCCACGACCGAAGGTCCTGTAACCAGCCTGCAAACAAAGGCGAAGTGGGCTCTAGAAACTGACGGAAGGCTAGGCCAAGGATTGAACGATTTGCTCACGCAAGAGGCTTCAGTTGTATAGAGCTGTAAACATGCAATTGGCATTTTTTACTCGCATGAGCCGGAAGTGTGTCTGTAGGAGACGAAGCGCAATTTAGCGACTCCTCAAGACAAACATGATGCGTCGGACACGATTATTCGCTGCCTCACTGACACTCGCAGAGCGTCTCAAGATAGTAATATAAAATAACATCGAAAGTATACTTTGGACATTCTGACGCAATTATTCTACCAGCTACGGTATTTTGCTGTTTTTGGTTTTATTTGACAATTATAATAATAATTATTAATAATAATAATAATAATAACGTGTTCATAAATATAGCACTTTCAACTAAGATCAAAGTGCTTTACATTTTGATGCTATATGGTGCTATACAAGTTTCGACTGTGACTTGTGACGTAGATTTATTACACTGATCCACTTGCGATGAATTGTTAAATGCCCCTTGTTTGGTTGAGACGATTCATCCTCTGCGTCACTATTATTAGGATGAGATACCGGTACAAGTACATGAAGTGAACAGAATTTTCAATCTGTGCACAGCTCCGTGTACACGCTTTCTTGCAGTCAGATTTCACGTACTGGCAAACAGTTAAAATTGGCTAACTCAGCTTACTAAAAGGTGAGATCGATGTAGGCCTACGAAGAAAACCAGATATACTGCAAAAGGCTAACTTGAGAGGAATTCAAGCTATTGCTAAATAGGGCACAAGGCTTTTTGTCCATTTGTCATCGAGCTTGATTTGGCCTGTTGAAATTCGATAAAATTAAGCCAGGTGGCACATGCATTTATTTATAGAGATTAATGTTTGCTGCCACCAGTCGTTGTATTATGTTCAATCACGCGCACGACTTCACAGCATTTTGACCGACCTCCATGATTGCTAATCTCTGACGTCACGGCTTCCGGTGAATTCGTGACACGCATGGCTTGTCCAGACCGAACTTTCTCCACTCGTGTTTCACCCGTTACGGATGCCACAGCACGATCGGCCTCTCCGCGTAAGGCGCGGGTGCCCTCCTGCGCTTACACCATAACCTTGTCGTGCGGCCATCAGACACTTCAGTTCCGACCCAGCCGGGCGTTAGCTTATCGATCTGTACAGGCCGGTTTCCTTGTCCAATGCGCCCGCCGGTTGTAACCCGGCCTCTCCGGTACAGTGTTTTGCCCGCGCACGCTGGTATTAATAGTAAAAACCGGTCGTGGTTTGTAAGATGAAGACCACATACCATCTCACCCTTCAGTCTCGGAATTAATTGCTCCCATGCTTTCTTTATATAGAAAAGTCTTTTTAAAATGGGCTGGTTTGTTTGCGTAGGAAGTTCAGGTCAATGAACGATTGTATGATTTGAAAGTAGGTCTTATTGTTGAGCGTATCTCCTCTTTGAAGGTGAGGACTTTTCAAGCTGTAAGTTCCTCGTATGTGTGTTCCAATGGAAATGTTGACTAAACTGAAGATATCGAGTTGAAGTAGTAAACATACATAGGAGAAAAACTACGTATCAGCGGAAGATACTGACTGTGCGTCAGCATAAAGGTCTGGTATAAAGCTATAAATACACGAGAAACGAAAACCAGTTCATTACATCAAAATAAAAGGCTTTGTGAAAAAGGTGCCTTTTATGCGAAAAAAAAAGTTTTGAAGAGCCCTTTATTGCGGATTTAAAGATCTAAATTTGAACAGTACTGTATTTGTATATTGTGTGTAGTCATTTTGATTCCATCAGGGCCCCAAATGGACACAAGTTTTAAACTGTTTAGGCATACCCTGGGTAAAGGAATATGGCTTCCTGTATTATTTTAACACTGCCTCCTTCATGGGCGCAAATCCTGGGTGGATGGTGAGAATAATCCCCCACTTTTTGACCAGGGGAATGGGACATGGGATCATCCCACCATGGAGCCCTCCATTATCCCACCCAGATTTTTGTGGTGCTAGAAACCTAAACAAATAGCGATTTTGGGTAAATTATCTTGTAACTTTCCAACAGTCTAAATGTATGAAATTATAGTTCGGAAAAACAATTGACATACGCTACAAACGCTTTAAATGTACCGTTTTTTATGTTAGGTTAGGGGAAAATGTGCATTACACGTATATTAATTTGTATCATGAACAGCGCCCCTATTGTCATGTGATGTCCAGCCAGTCCGCTCCCCCCCCCCTTTCGAATTTCCACCTCCGCACAATGTTAGAATGTTGGGTCCCCCCCCCCCCCCTAATCGCCAACCCCGATTTTTGCCACTGGCATCTTGCAACATACGTCGACATTTGTCATATTACAAGTTCACTTGGTGCTACTGGTGACGTCAACACCTAAGTTTCCATGACCGACAGTTCTGCTGATCAATTCTCTTTCCTGATTTCGTACGCAGATCACTGACGTCATCAATCGCAGCCATGAAGCCAACAGTAGCTCTAACGCTAGCAGTTCTGTGCACGTTCTACACCATCGCCACAGCCGCCTCATTAGCAAGGTAAACCCAAAACAGTGGTCGACACTTTCGAATTATGTTAGACATTCTTGGTATGCTTTCATTGTTGTAAGATCCGATTGTCTTCGGTCTCGTTTACTTTAGGCTGGCGTTTACTGTCAACTGCATTTTGAAACAATTTTTGGCTTCTTTGTTTTCGTTTTTGGTTTTGTTTTCGTTTGATTTTTCTTGTACCACTACATATTTTCAGCTTCAAACTAGTCTTCTGTTAATTTTTCAACAGTATTTCTTTGGTATAGAGAGTGAGATTTCCTTACTTTTTTTTTTAGTTGATGTTATCAACGCGGATTTGTGTATTCGGAATTCGCAGCCAACGACAGTAAATAGAGACTACTCTTGTTTTCTTATAGTGTGACGTCATGGTCGTCACTGTTTATTCGAATTTCCCTTATAAAATCAAACCCATGCCCTCTATCTACGACATTCCTGTTTGTAACACTGCTTACTGGTTGGATGGGCCAAACAACCTAAAAGAGGATGTTAGTTCCCTTATAGGAACGGGCCCTTAACTTCGCCATTTCGCTGCACTGGACCTACATGGAGCTAATCGTAGTTATTATTTATCTTCGCAGTGGCTATTCTTAAGGCAGTCAACCATCTGGTTCCTTGACCTAATATATAGTCGTCAACGTCAGGATTTTTGCATGTTGGAAGCAGAATATCAACTGAATGGTTCTCGGACTTTATTTCCAAATCCTCCAAAGCCACTGATTTCAAAGACGAAAATATAATCTACTTTAATTAAATGTAGAATTTGAGTAAATATATGTTTAGTATATAATGGAAACCACTAACTTGGGAAAAATGGAACAGCACGGATTTGATCATGTTGTTCCGCTATAATTTGATGCGAAGGGGTTTGTCCGGTGTTTCTGCATGCACCTTGTATACCCTTTATAAAGGTGCTACATAAGGCAATGGTCTCATATTTGTCACAAACTTCATTTACCTGTCTTTAAAAAAAATAGACATAATTACCAGCGAGTTGAATACCTAATTTGTGGTAGCAACGTGCGCTATATAAGATTCCGGTATTATTAGCTCTTTTCACACTTCCGCCATGGGCATGCAGAGCCTCGATCTGGCAACTTAACACAATAAATAAAGTTGGTTCAGTGATTCCCGTGTCGGGGTCGAGATCACTGAACCGGCTATTTTTATTGTGTAAAGTTGCCAGATCGAGGCTGTGCATGCCCAATGGCGGAGTGTGAAAAGAGCGAATTATTCCCGGGACATTCGGCATGGTAGTCAGTGTCAAGCATTTAACCTATCGAGTTGGGCCAAGACTAGCTCTCTGGTTGCTGGTAGGGCAGATTCGCAACGGTGTTTCTGCAATGCCGTAACAATAGAAGATAAAAATCGAGTTACGGCTGTCGTAACGATAGCCACTACTAGTTATTTTTGGACGCCTTTAGCCTGAGAATTCAAGAATAAAACCGTTTACCTTCAGACAGACACGATGACCGATGTCACGATATTGTCCAGATGTAGTGAGACCTCTCGTGAATGGTATGAAGTGAGTTCCTGCAATTAACCGTTGACTCCAAGGCTGGTAAAGGACGTGGCTTAACAATACAGTCAAATTAACTCGACTGAACATATCAAAGATGACTGCAGTTGTCTGCTGCATGCTGCCACCAATAGTTTCAAATGGTGCATGCCGTACGTCTGAAGCCACCAAGAGTCTAAAACATATCCTTCTTTTTTTATTACAGAGCCGAAGCAGACCTTATGTTCCCACTGACAGGAGACGATTTAAGAGAATTAGCAGACAAAGTCGACGCATACAACGAAATCCTACTCATGTTTTCCGGTAGCAGTGAATTCCAGTCAATGTAAGTTGAATTCAATTGAATAAAATAGGGGCCTAATTAACAATGTCGATTTGGGGCCTATTAACGTGACAGACGTCAATGTTTGCACTCGATAGCGATGTTGGCAGGCATGACAATGAATTGAATAAATGATTAGGCCTATAGTGGTGATACAGACAACAGTGTGATGAGGGTAAAATAGGTCTAAACGATGTTGACAAAGAGGGACAACATAATTGGAGAACAATATGACGTGCCATATTCACGATGGTGATCAAAATACCGATGACATGGTCACAGAGGTGAAATGTGGATATTTGGCAAATTGCAGCTGTAGGCCTATACGTAGGCCTTTCTGTTAACCACAATTTGCATCACAAGTAACATAATGAAAAACGAAAAAGAAATGTCATTTTTGCCTGGTCTCACGGGTATATTCCTCTGTTTTGTACCTTAGACCCCCTTTACACAGGGCTGCGACCTTTGGGCCTCCCTCGTGCGACCATAAAACTGGTCAGGTCGCCGTTGGAGGCTCAAAGGAAGCCGAATGGTTGCCTAGGTCGTTCAAAGGTGGTACATAGGATGTTCAGACATCGCCATGGACGCCATGGTCGCCGTAAAAATTTGAATTTGAAATTTGAAATGTTCAAAACAGTCGCACAAAGGTCACCGAGGAGGTTGGTTGATCAAAGGTGGCTCAAATAATGAGGCAGAAGAGAGTCACAAGTATTGCCATGGTTGCAGAATGGATGCATAATGGTCGGCCATGTAATAGGTCCGTTCTGTTGGACATTGTACCGTAAATCTGGGCGATATGCTTCTGCCTCCCTTGTGCCTCCTTTGGTCGACCAAAAGCGTGCATTGAAAGGTGACTGTGGCGACCGTTGTGCCTCCATTCGGCGTTGGTTGCCGTAGGTGGCACAAGCACAGGGGAGGAAGGAAAGTGGCTCAGTGGACACACGGGTCGCTCGTAGCTTGACATGAAAACGCCCGAAAATTGCACTTTTGGTGGTTCAAGGGAGGCACAAGGATCGCTTTAGCAGTTACATAGAAACAGAATTTTCTGGGTTGAGGCGACCATTGAGCGTCCTGTCCATATTTTTGTCGCTCATAGGTGGTACAAAGGTCGCAGCCCTGTGTAAATGAGGGGGCCTAACTGACCCACTCAGTCACTGAATGTCATTTGTGCCGTGCTTATGTAATATACATAATTTCCTTTTGCTGTTATTTTCAGAAAGAATGGATTTTGGGTTAGCCTGTATTTCTGGCAGTGGCTGCAATATGCGCCGCAGCACATAATTGTAAACCCTTTATAAAATTACAGGTTTACTGGAATATCCTGTACTTAAGACTGACGTCCGTGATAGGCTTATGTGACTTTTGATGGCTTAGGTCTTGTAGGTCTACACCCATTTATTTTTTTAACATTTCCAGGCTAAAAAGATCAACCCCTGGTTGTAAACTATTCAGCGGCTGCGCACAACTGAAGGTCGGACAGGATGCTCTATCGCGCGTGCTCGCAGACAGCAATTCCCGCTTCGGGAGTGGTGGGCCAGGAAAGAGAAGGCGATCAGTGGACACACCAGCTGAGGACAAGGCGTAGATGGGATGCACCTCAATAATAGTCCAGGTACAAGACCCAGAAATGCTGCATGCATTGCCTGCGATGTTTGTTTGTCATCACGAATCTGCATTCACGCATGCACGTAATATGGTGTGGAGATATACATTCTCGTCTCCAGAATAATAATAATAATCCTGACACCTTTTTTGTTTATTTTACTGCGACTAAAGTTCAGCAAAGTGTCACCAGTTACTCAATGACTCAAATTCAATGTAAATAAAATAGCCCATCAGTTGCTTAGCCAAGATTTTTGTGATCTATTTTTTGGGGAAAAATAAAATTGAATATTATTTTTTCCTTTTTGTGCAGGACGATGCATTATAGGCTTGGACATCCACAAGATTGCTTCCACCGCATGCACACACTACAAGCACGTCCGAATGGCAAAGTTTTGACTCTCCCGCCATGTTTGTTGTCAAGAGCACAGCGCCCTCTACAACTTGTTTGACTTCCAGCCAATAGAGCACCATAATGACTGCCCGAAAATTAGAATGTGGTTGGGGTGTAATCTGATCTGGCGCTAGTTTAGTTGGCAACAAATATGGCGGTATGCACTTGCGTTTTAGAGGCTAATGACTGTAAGCTATAACTAAAAAAATCCCACAAAAAATCCATCTTGGTCAACCTGATAAAGCACCAGCATATAATTTGCTTCAAAACTATGTTGAACAAAAACGAGACGGTTTATGATAAATCAGTAATTACAACACTAAAAAAAAAAATGATAATAACTGTATATAAGTCTAATCTGTTGAAATTCAGATCATATTAAAGAACAGATATATAACATTGAAGAAAATTATAACTTGGAGTATTAAAAATATCTACTAACATTCCTTTCTTCAGTAGATGCTTACTACAAAAAATAAACTGCCAAAATCTTGAGCGTTATGTTTAACACCACTAGATACATTTTACCGATGTAGGCTACATTTGCGGATAAATATACATGAGATGGAATTTTGCGGATATATATGGTTTTCTAATTGACAGTGACGTGACTTGCATTACACAGTAATAAACATGTATTCAACCGCGCACGTATACACACAGGAAATAATTTCCAAGTTTAATTTTGTTAAAAAATGCCCCTGTTAATACAGCATAATTTATTTCACATAAATTGACTCCGTATTTGTTTTTGTGGACGATCATTATTGCCTTCCATTTGAATGCAATGGCCAAATAAAATGATGATTGGCGTTATGATCTCACCTTTGCCACCAATGCCTGGGCAGTGCCAACCTCGGTTCAAATTCGAACTTCTCCATGTCTGGTTCCCAAGTCAATTGCTCGAAATCAACAAGTTTGCACGTTGGGGAGCCATTCTGATTTGTTGTTATAAAGCTCGTCCCCAGTTATTGCAATTTGAAACCGAGGTTGGATAACTGTAGGGTTTGATCACAGTATTCTGCACATTCACTTTTCTTTATACATTCTGCAAAATGGCGATTCCGTGGATTAAACTGTACACCATTACTGGCAGTTTTATGTAGGAATATATTATTCGCCTGCAGAATACTAAAATTGGATTCATTTCAATAAATTATGGCAGCTACTGCTTCAAACTGTAAAGATTGCGTCTATTGTCGAGTTGGATTTCTTTCTGCTGTTGTTTCGGAATAGCCTGTATAAGGCCTAGTCAGTTCGGGACAAAGTCTTTCCAGAGCCAAAGGATTCATAATCAATCATAATTTACTATCAAAGTTACAGCGTGTTGCTGGAGCGGGACCTCTCCCGGCCAAATGGGCGTCGCCCAATTTTGTTTAATGTGTATTAAATTTAAAGCAAATATGACTTCACAGCTCTTTTTCTTTTGCTTTCCTTTTTTCCTCTTTTTTTGGGGGGGGGGGGTGGGGGGCAAGTGCCCTCCCGCCCCCCTTGCGACGCCCATGGCCGGCCGCGACCTGACCTGACATCACCAAAAAGTGCATTAGATTCAGTAGGATTTTCAGAAATGACCCCGATACGTTAGGCAATAATATAAACCAACTTTGCCGTTTCCTAAAAGTTGATAAACAGTGCATGGCCTCAATCTGCTCAAAGCTACATTCTGAAATTCCTACTGAATCTTATGCAAGACCATATGCTGGAATTACACCACTGACCTTTATAGTTCGATTGCATTGAACAGCCATCTTGGATGTGTTTATGCTAACTAATAAATCACAGAAGGTCGATTCATCGGCGCATCTGTTGGACAAAAGCACACACCTATCAGAGACTGTTGCAGTGCAAACGATCTATCTGAGAGTGTTTTCGTGTATCTGGAATGATGTTCAGGCGGAGTTTTGTGATCTTGATAAGTTCAAGTTCGCATGACTGACCTGACCACAACCAAAATCAGAGATAAGGAATACAAAGCACCTATGAACTTCGCGCAGTATCCAAAGGTCACTTTAGAACAAAAGACGGCAAATAATCATCAGATCTCATGCGGTTCCCAAGTGCACAGCGAATCACCGATTCACGATTCTGATAGCACAGCACAGCTAGTTTTGAACCAATTTTCTACCAAAAGAGATCGGGGGAAACGAATCAGAGAGCAAGATGGACATGTCCGTATTTGAGTGGGGCTGGGTCTCGCTTCTATCCTACGCCCTCTTGTGCTGGGTGTGGTGGAGTGGCGACGTCATCAAGTGGATAGTTACCATCGGCCTGATCAGCTGCTACGTCCTGGTGACGCACTACAGGAAAAAGCACTCGGACCGTGGCAACATTACACCCATGATGCAAAACCACACACCGCTAGTAACCGGTAGGTCGTCTCCTGCCCACGTTGATGAACCATAACCAATCGCTTAAAAAAACCTGAAGGAATTTTCTTCATCCACAAAAACAAAAACAAAAAAACAACCCGGGTATTTAAAGGCACATTGGGATCAATTTGCTCTTCGTGCATTGGCTAAACGTTAAAGCTTAAGCTCAGGGGTTCCTATGCCCTATGTAAAGCAGGGAAAACGTATTGCACATTGCTAACGCAGGTGAAAATACATGTCTGAAGGCAAACTTTCTAAAGCAACTTCAATGATTGATTTATCTCCATCAAAATCATTTCACTCTGACTAAATTCAAGGGTATTTGGTAACATCCCCACATTCACTTTGAGCAAGGCTTTTAACTGTATTGATTCGGTAGGTGCGTTTCCAGGGAATGTCCAATGTTCCTCGTGTGTCTTTATAGTTTGATAGCTGTTTTGTTGGTTAGCCGATGGTGAGCCTGGAGCGCAAGCTATCACTGGCTTCTACCTTTACGTTTCAAATTTGGCAACTGATCTGTTACAAAAAAAGGTAATCGATTTGATAAGTCCGAGTCCCTTCATCTCTTGATACGCAGCTAGGCACACAGTCAATCCACCACGTACGAAGCTGTCACAGAGAACGCAATGACGGCATGCATAGACGTCGACGGGGCCGGGAACATCGGGCAGCGACTCCTACCAAGGACATCCATGCTTCGGCAGTGTCATCACACAATGCTTTGCGTCGATGCTTTGCTGGGATTGGACAGCAGTGGACTTAGTACATGCAGATGTCTGAACCCTTAACCCGATCTCTTATGTTTGAGGAGTGTATCATGCTGACACCTGTCCCTTTCTGTGCATTCTATTGTTTTTGTTAATGTTATTTTGATAACGTAACCGGGTAGAATATCGGTGGCCCTACACGCACTTATTATTTTCTATTGTTTTCAGGAATACCTTTAGGTACCTAATGCTAGTCTGGTTCCTGAACCAAAATATTATGAGGATTCTGATGAATCTTATTATGTCAGGTAAGCGCCACTGCCAAGAGTCCAGGATCCCGCCCGTTTCCGAATATGTCCAAAGTGTTCCGAACACCGACACTCGGCCGTTTTCGCGATCGCGAGGGGATTCCTGGATGCAAAATTAATTTATTTACCAAGAAAGTACCTGTCATGCTTGCTAAAAGTCCTGAAATTTCGAGTTTATAAAACCAAAATTCAATCTACGAAACTCAATTCCAATTATAATTCCCAGTATCTGCATCTTATATCCATAAGAGGCTTTGTGCCGGGACTGGACACTCGGACGAGGTCAGGGCATAGTACATCATGTTAATAATAATAATAATAATTACTCTTTTCGCCCCAGTAGGGTGACTTTCCCATAGACTTGTGCACAAACCTAAACTGTCACCTAACCCAAGTTTACCTTATGTTTTTTTCCACGAAATTTAGTATTTATACTAATTGGACCATGAGGAATCGATCTAGATGGTTAGCGACAGCAAAATTCCTTGTCCTAAGGGTCGTTTTCATAAAAGGGCGACAGTTATTATGTCGCCTCAAAAAGGTGTATCGCCCTATTGTGGACGGAGTTCGCAAAATCTGTCGCCCTATTACAGAAATAGTAGTAGTAAGACTAACAAATATAATGATAAGAATTGGTTCCTATATAGTGCTTTCAACAGTATGATCAAAGCGTTTTACATTATCATTACTCCTGATCATTGGGCCAATTAAACATTCCACCATCTCAGCTCCCTGAGGAGTATACAGCTCGATGATGCCTGTAAGCGCAAGGAAGCTAATTCAATCCCAATAACCATCTCTGCCCTCACAGCCCGAGGTACCCATTTACTCCTGGGTGGAGAGAATCAATGAGTGATTAAGTGCCTTGCCCAAGGGCACACGCACCATGACCCCAGGCTGGACTCGAACCTGCAACCTGCACTTTTACCCACAAACCACGAATCCAATGCCCTTAAATAAATCACGAGGCTACAGCACTTCATGTTCATGTTAATTTTTTTTAATTTGACAATTACCTTACTCGTCAGGTGATCTCCAGGTCAGGAAACCAGACTAACATAACGCCTCATAATCGAGTCTGTCCAAACAGTTTTTGTGTACAATTTGTCACGTTTGATGGTAACTGAGTGAATAATAATATTATGAATACAACGGAAGATTAAGATTATGTTTACAATTCTTTGATTTTCTACCACACGAGAAATTAAATAATTATATGTACAAAAAGCATAATACAAAATCGTGGATGATGTATACTTCTTATAATGGAATATTCATTTGGTAAAGAAGTAATTTGTTTTGTGTGACTGTTTGTTTGCTACTGTGCAATTAAACTTATATTGAAAATTCAAGCTTTCTGGACTGTGACTGACAATGCCCACACATTGAAGTAGCCGCCGCCATCTTGCGTCTAACAACGCACGCGCAGTAAACGCGTTCGGTTTTTTTTTTGGGGGGGGGGGTTGTGGGTAGTTGGTGTCGGATTTCTCTATCAGAGTTAATGCGCCAAAAAATAATAATAACAAGAATTGTATTTTCTGACCGGTTTGGTTGATTAAGCAGTCATATTCCTGGAAACGGTTCCTATGCTAACACTAATACATTATCAGGGGAATCGTAGGTTTGAATGTAAAGCAAACAGACAAGTGTAGAACGATGCACATGTACATGTCCCGGTTTGACGTTTTTGGCCATCTGAGATGGTGGATCAGTTTCCTCAAGATGCACTAATACATTATCAGGGGAATCGTAGGTTTGAATGTAAAGCAAACAGACAAGTGTAGAACGATGCACATGTACATGTCCCGGTTTGACGTTTTTGGCCATCTGAGATGGTGGATCAGTTTCCTCAAGATGCACTGGCCAATGCGTGCGTATTGCGCATAGCAGCAGTAGACCTACCGGTAATGTGTTTTAGATTATAACGCTTGGTTTTGTTTCACTGAACCATTGTAACCAAACTTAGCCAGAAAACATTCACGTTAAGTGTACATGTACGTGCAGTTCCTACGCGAAAGTCCCATATACTCGCAAAATCTCGCGCTTTTTTGGTCAACTTGCCACTCCACAAGAAGAAGAACAACCCCTTACAAAATGAAGTAAAACACGACTCCTCAGATCTTCAGGGTATAGCATAATGTTCAATTATTATTATTTCTTTTCCGTACAAGACACAAACTTAAACCAAGCAATATTTCACAACTCAAAACGATAACGTAACACTATCATATAAACAAGGTAAAAAAATCACGCATAAATCAAACGTATCAAAAGAATATTAATCATTGTTGTCATTGCCGGAAGAAAAAGGCCAATGGAGGACAATTACAGGATCGTTTTTAAATTACAATTGCAGTTGGCTCTGTTATTACAAAATATCTGTACACCAAGTAAAAAAAAAAGTTTAGCGTCCTGCCTTTTTGCAAAAAAAAGAAAGGAGGCTCTTTTCTTTTCTTTTTTTTACTTCCAAAATGGCCGCCCAACCCGGCTATATTTCAAAATGGCCGCCACTTTGACTCAGGAAATGACATACCAGCTTCATATGGGCTAGATGCAACAGATAAAGAGGCCTAAATGAGGTCACTGTTTAAAATGTATCATTTTGGGGGTTTAAAAAAAAGGAGGGGGACTCCAAAAAGGAAGCGGGCGGGGACGCTAAACATATTTTTTTGTGTTTGATTTGGCCTTAACAATCTCCCAACTCCGATGGAGACAGCATAGCTTGAAGTTCGACCAAACCAACACATGTACAGCATGTACACATGTACCGGGGTAATCCGATTCATCTTGTGCCCAGCATTGCACA